GTACTCTGGCGGGAATTTATTTAGCTTGCAACGATGGATAAGTCAAATTTTCAGTAAAGTTTTAGCTCAAGTTCGCCTGTCCACGAAGTACCATATAAGGTTTTGTATAATAAGCCTGGTTTATAAAATAAACCCCAATTATTTATGTACGTAGTGCAATCTAGGCCAATTGGGGTATCTGCTCTTCAAGTGCCCACTTCTAAAGAGTTAGAAAGCAATTCAATGCATATATTCCAAGTGACCAATCAATTTACAGTCAGGATGGTCTATCTCTGTGCTGTTAACTGTTTGGGAGTCAGGGCCAACATTAAATGAAAAAATTGTGTAAACTACTGTAATTTTCTTAAATACTTTTTTAAGTAGTTTCACTTTCAGTATATTTTTGAATAATTATTAGGGTTAAATAAAATGAAAGAATGAAAGATACATGAGGAGAACGCTTTAGGAACAATATAATGGATATGTTCGACAAATGTGAACGATGAATAAAACACGACACCAAGATCCTTTATTTATTAAATTGTTAACAATTCTCTGAAAATAAAAATAAAAATTAACACAATCGTGAGCACATTTCTATTGTCAAATTAGGTACAATTAGAAATTTCGTTTTTCCATCCCTGATTGGCATTTGCCGAGACTGTTAGGCGCCTGTCACACCATCAATACGGATCACGATCCTGGATCGTGCCGTGTATCATTGATGGATCGTGATAAATATCACAAGATTTCAAAATATTTTGATATCCATCCATATGGATCACGATCCAAATATCGCGATCTGTATTGATGGTGACAGGCGCCTTCAACGGCCTCGCGCATAACATTTCTGTTTTCCATTTACTTTGCATGAGAAACGGGGGCAAGCGATGAATGCAAAATACTACAATGGAGAAATTTCGCAGAGAAACCAACGAATAGACAACAAAAACAAATATTTGCGAATTGCCAAAAAAAAACGCTGTCAGCAGACACGTTGAAGAATTTGCAATTTCGACAGAGTTGTCAAGTGCTATGCTAACTTTTTGATATCATGATTTTGTCAGTTGTGTACATATATACATTTGACACACAAATTTAATCGAGTTACAGCATTTTATGGATGGCTCTAAATGCAACTAGGCAACTAGTGTTAATTCAATAATTTTTAAGTACGGATAAGCTAACAAATACACCGAACTGTCAAATTCATTCTTTAATCAGCTGCACTACTAATAATTACTGTTTTACAATTAAGTTATTAAAAAATAGCCAGAGATTACCGATACTTTACTTTTTTGTCTTCCAAGATTCACTCGCGTTATCTAGTTTAGACCACAGAGAACGTAAATATACGTTCTCTGTCGACCACTTACTCATTCACAATGCAAAACATATGTAAATACTTGTTACGCCCTCTTGCTGCTTCTTCTTTCGCTTTCTCGGTTGCTCGCGTTTTTTTTTATTTCGTCTCCGTTTTCTGCGATTCAATTATTTTTTTCGCTTTGATTTTTGCTACAAAATAGCTATTGCCAATTGGATTTCGAATGCATGGAATCGATTTTTTTGTTATAATTTTGCTCTTTAAATCCAAGTAAAATATTCACTTTTCACTTTTTATCGTCATATTAAAAGAATGTAAACTTATTCAAAACAAAATCGTTAAATTTGATGCCTATGGCTCTTTTTCAGTCTTATACATTTTCTTTTTCGTTCGGGCACGTTATGGCAATATGATTATGTGGGCACCGAGGGGCGCTTTCACGCGGCACAGAAGGGCTTCATAGCGCAGAAATGCACCGATTTCGTTGCCAATTTTCCCTTTTGTTATAAATAATCTGATATATTAACTGGATTTTACACTTTTTGGCAACCTTTAGCAGGAAACACAAATGGAACAACAAAATAATTTCCACCAACAGACTTTCACACACGTCTTGTAGCGAATCACAAAATGGACTGCCCGCTTAGGGATGGAAAAGACGACTCTGATTTAAGTCAAAGGTCGACTTTTTGCTGAAAAAACTGGAAAAACTAATAGGCAGGGCTGCCAACCTTTCTCAAACCGTGACATTTTTGACCCTATTTTACTTCAAATGGCACCTAAACTATGTTCACATATCAATATTATCTCAAACAAAGCTCGTTTTTTAATCACCCCGTTTACACAGGCAAATCTCAGATTATTAGCCGTCATGCACGCACACGGAAAATTGTAAACAAATTTCTTCTTCTTTCTATTTTCTAAGCATACGTACGCCTAGCTACCAACACTGCTGTGCGCCAAGCCAAGAGAACGACACAAATTTTCATTCTTTTTCGTATCCGGAAAACGTTCGAAAATGATGATGTTATTTGAAAGCAATAATAGTATTTTATTTGTTCGAGCTGCTACTGTTTGTAAGCTGTCAGAAAGTCCGGGTACGGGGCTCTAAGGCGCTGCCTTATTTAATTTTTTTCGAAACATGAAAAAGCATCTCTGAAGTGCAGAAGCAAAAAAAATTTAAGTAGACATATTTCAGAAGAACAGCCAAAAACGTATCCGTTTCAAAACAATTTTCTGTTCTTGTCGGTACATGCGTTTCTGCCGCACACTAAAGTGGATAAAGGGACGCCAAATTATTCGAAAATGAAATCGGTAAACAGAGGAAAATCCGCATTTCATCCACTTTTTTCCTTTTTCGAACAATTTGTGGGAGTTTTTCTAGCTAGGTTAATATTTGCCACTTTATTTACAAGACAAAATATAATGGATTTATATATATTCATGCTGGGAAGAGTTAAAACGAATCGGACCTTTTTTGGCACTTATTATTTTTTGTTTGGCACATTTTGGCACTTTTTTATCCTGAATATGGCACTTCATAGCTAAGTATAGTTGGCAGCCCTGCTAATAGGCTAACCTAATGCATTTTTTTATTTTAATGATTATCTTAATTTTCTTCGGTCTTCGGGTCTTCGTTCAAAGGGATAAACTCTTGATAAACTTGATAAAATGATAAATTTATTTATTTTTAATTATTTGATTGTCTTAAATTATTTTATTATTTTCAATATTTGATTATTATTAATTATTTTTTCAAATGGATGAAGCTGCGCTTGGCAGGCAAATTAGACATATACAACGATATATAGCTATTCTGACATTTTTACACTCTTATGAATGTACATACATATATGAAAATATAGTTAAAAACTAGGTAAAAAACTGTCTCTTTAAACAAGACGAGCCAAACCCTACTCGGTGTAGCCCAGGACTGAGTACAATTGACTGGAACGAACGTGCGCGCCTTGTGCTCAACCGCCTCCCGACGAAATACTTGATGGTGGTACCGGGGGGTTCGGTACTTGGACGGTGGGGGGTTTAGTTAGGTTAAAGTCCACACTGACGGACAAGGCGTATTTAACAAGGTGGTGTTGGCCGTATATAAGTAAAAAATTACAATAACAAATTATACGCTGATGTCCATACTGTCATTGGTATGAGTTACAACAAACACATCATTTTGACGTAATGGCCTCCACGGCGAAAAACTCAGCTGTCGCCCCAACACCACCTTGTTTAATACACCTTGCTGACGGGTATAGTGAATTAAAAGCTTGTTGTTGCGAAAATTTACTTTTCATACTGCGTATTCACAATAGCAGTGGTTTGTAAATATTCTCACGGCCCTTACTTTGGCTGAATTTCCTTATTCATTCGGAACGTTTGGAATAAACTTTTTTGTTTACTTATTCTTTAGAACGTTCCTGATGATATGCTAATGTATGTTTCAAAAGCATTCTGTTTATTCCGGCTGTGAAATGGGATTAACCGGCATGTATAAAGAAACGCAGCCTTTAATTTTTTAGTGCTTTTAATTTTCACTTTTTGTAATTTTTTAATCTATAATGTGGAGTGCGATTTTTTTTTTTATATATTGGCATTTTATGCTAAATTTCTATATTTTATGATTGTGCTAAAACAGGATGAATTGTACTAAAAGTGCCCCCTGAGAATGAAAGTGCCAAAAATGGCACAATTGTGCCTACTTTTCCATCACTGGTTTGTTCGTAATACATACGTATGTTTGTATGTAAACATATGAATGAATAACTGCCATTCCTAAATTGGCGCGACAAGCGCCAAGCAACTGTCAAAAATCCTCATGCCAATACAATTTGTATGAAGCATCCCACAATAACGCGGCGCTAACGCCGAGCCTAATGGAATTTTAATTTTTGACAGGGCGTTACGTGTTGAAGTTGGATACAGAAGACGGAAAGAAAGAGATTGGACAAAAAAGTGAAAGAGGAAACAAGAATAAAAACGATAGGACCTGAGAAAACGTCAAAAATTACGATGCGATTTAGGGACGGCAGTAAGTCCGCAACGATGAATGACAAGAGCAGCACGCGCAGCGAAATTTTCAAATTTTTCTTAAACAGTTGCTTTCGACTGCGAGAATAACAAAGCAAAGCAAAGAAAACAGCAAATTTTTCTGAACTGTTTGCTTCGGCTGACTGTCTAACAGGCTAACCTAATATTCACGCACGCCGCCAATTTACTGTCAAAAATTTCTCATGCACATACAACTTGTATGGGACCAACCGAAATTGAACGGCGTGCGTATGAAGCTTAANACCCCCATACACAGCACAAATGGCTTGAAGCAAAGGGAAATTTCGCTTGGTTTGTCAAACCGCTTGTGTGGTGTATTTCGCTCTTAACTCAATTTCCAATTTTTGTACTGCGTGACATTTTGATTTGACGTTTCGCTCGATGAAATCAAATGCAAACACACGCAAGCCAATTTCAGGTGACGCAAAAAAAAAATCGACGGCGTGCGTACCAAAACGCAAGCCGCGAATATCACCGGCCGTCTTCACGTGCTGGAAAATCTTGCTTGCGTGACGACGCATGCGAGAAACCGCACGCGTAGACCGCAAAAAGTACGAAGCATTCTTTTTCTCGCATACCGAGCGGTAATGCGAGCTCTCGCTTGCTTTCAACTGTCATTTTTGTTGTTTGACAGCTATGTTCTCATTTCGCAGAATTCTTCAGAATAGCAACATCGTTTATTTTGGAGGCAAATACAAATTTCTTTCGTTTCTTGCGTCTTTTTCTCTCTTTATGCAGATTTTCTAATTTTCTCAAACTTTTAAGAGCCTGCAAGGCTTGAACCTTCTTGTTTGGCGACATTTTACAAATGAAAAAGTATGCTGTCAAATGCCCAGTCAACATAACTCTATCTCGCTTGCGAGAGAAAAAAGCAGAACGCATGCGAGATTTTCAAGCATGTGAAGACGGCCGGTTGGGTTAGCCTGTAAGCAAAAACAAACTGCGATGTAAGCAAAAGCAAATGATTTCAGGTCTCCTTTCGCATTTGCTGGAATTCTCTTCACTCAGAAATGGCTAGATGAACTTAGGGAAAAGGCACACAGAAGGCTTAAAGCGCAGTTAGTCAACGACGTAGCGTAAACGTAGGTTGACGTACGTAGCAGCATATCAAACTTACTGTTGATTGAGAGAGATAGAAGCAACGGCAACGTCACCGCCATGCGGTGTTGAGTTTTCGGTTACACGCGAATCCCATAAGGTAGATCGTGTCTGCGTCAACCTACGTCTACGTTACGTCGTTGACTGTTTGAGCTTTTACACGTTTGGAATACTTTTTGGCTTTTGAATAGAGTTGCCAACTATTTAAAAAGTCGGATTTAAATTAATCATACAAAAGTTATGTAATATATTTTATAATTGGTATGAAAAGAATGCATTTTAAGAAAAATTTTGTTTAAAAGTATGAAACTAACCGGAAATGAAAACTTTTTGAGGAAGGTAGAAAGTTTTTGATTAAAAATTGTATAGTTATGAAAAACCATCGATAGTGGGGAAAAACCAGCGCCCTAGCAAGTTTTCTAACACTATGGTAGATTACTTAAAACTCTTTAAAAAAAAAAATCATATAGGCATTTCAACCAAAATCTCATTACATACATATATTTTTTATCATGAGTTTCTTTATTGTTCTTCAGTTTTTAATCCATATATGTACATATGTATGCACGTATGTATGTATGTATAATATACTTAGTCAAGTCCATTTTAATTGATCCATTGTAATTATTGTGTAATTCATATCATGGTATGTACGTTTGCTCATATTTTCCTTGTTCATATACAGTTTGTGTGCTGTGTATGTGTGAATATATTTTAGTGTACATTTATTTAAAATTAAATCCATCATCATTTTATTTATTACAACGGTCATTTTATTTAATAGTGGTAATATGCATAAACTTTAAATAATTGAATGCTTACGTTTAGTGCATAAATAAAATTTAATAATAAATTTAAATTGCAATAAATTCCTGCGTACAAACGCATCCATACATACATACATGTGCATGTATGTATGTATGTGTATATATATTTAATCGCATAATTATAATAATTGCAATGCAATTGTTTACTCAGCCATTACATGTCATGTACATACATTTCACAAAATATTTTACTAAATTCAATAAATTTTATTAAAACTTTTTTTTTTAGTTTTTAAAAATTCTTCAAAGGCCTGTTTAATGAACGCACGAACGTACATAGCTAAAAAAGTTGATTTACAGTTGTTTTGTCTCAATCATTAACCTAGAATAAGAAATAAAATGAAAATATAGAAGAGATAGTCGTATATAGAGCAGAAATATGCAAAGAAGAAGAAGAAGAGAAGAAATATGCAATTAAACTCAGTTTGAAAGGCTATTTACAAAAGGATCTCAAAAAAGTGATATGGACAGAAAAAATGCGTACATTGTATTTAACAGCCTAAAGCGTTTCAAATATTTATATTTGTATGTACTCATGTACATATATGCAAGTGGGTAAAAGTGTATAAGAACGCAACAGCAAGGCAAGACTTACAATTCTAAATTCACATAAATGTACTTGTAACATAATGTATGTATGTATGTATAGTAATTATCTAAATTTGTTTTAATGCTCTCTGCCCTCAAGCGAATCTGAATATCACCAAGATGTTTTTATTAATTTAATTTGTATGCATGTATTTTTACACATGCACAATTACTTTAAATTTATACTAAGAATTAAAAACTTTTTTTTTAAATTGTTATTTATTTATCATTTAGATGAACGTATTAGACTGGAATATAATTTTTGAAATGCAAAATGTCACTATTAATTAAGCGAAACTAAAAAGAGTTCTAGAGCGCTAGGCGCAACTTTATTTATTTTTTTTTTATAATTGCGACGACAGTTAAGTAATTAAAAAAAAATATGAAGTTTATTGTAGTAATTTAAGTGTGCAACATTATTTTGCTAACTCGGAATTAAAAAAAGCCAGGTAAAACTAAAACCATATAGAAAAAAATGCCCCATAGATATATTGTTTTTTTCTCACGTCAAATTCCCAGGCGCGCTGAGCGGTGCGAAACAAGCTACTTTTTGAACAGCTGGGAAACACACAGAAAATGGGAAAAATAATTGGAAAACTACGATTCCTATAGATTTTTGTACCGGCTATCTGCTGGTGTTATTCGTTTTCCAAAACTTTCCCATTTTCACGTTGAAAATTCGAAAGGAAGATTGATTTGTAATTTTTCTCAATGATGACCACTTTTTAATTTTTAATATTGTTTTAAGACATCTCCATCGAAAGGTCAGGTCTTTTAACATAGAAATCAATAGGGCTGTTCAGCATCTAGTGCATATGCTCCTGCATTTGCATTTTCGTTGCATTTGAAAATTCGCAACAATAAAATCCACACGGTTGGCATGGCAGCAAGCATAAAATTTGCAAATGCAATTCCAAGACCATTTCCATAACATGCTGAACAGCCCTATCAATAAAAAAGGGATTTTTTTTTGTTTTTTTTTCCGGGTTATAAAGCGTTTAGAATTTTATGTCACAGGTGCCAATCGGACTGTCAATTTCTCTGAAACTAAGAGCCCAAAAAATCCAATACGAAATTCGTGATTTCCAAAGTTCAAGCCTCAAAAACTTTATTTTCCATTTAGAATTTTCTAAAACTTATTTGAAATTTGTAATGAGCGAACTTAACAGCCAATAAATACAAAATTTCATGAAGTCAGGAAATTTTTAAATTCCTGGACGCCATATTGTTTGAATTTTCGAAAATTAGTTGAGTTTAGATTTGTTAAGACACACCTTATTAGGCCATGAGGGTCAGAGAAGCCTAGTATCAACAAACAATTTTTTTTTTTAGTAGTATGAGAAAGAGAGATCTATAAAAAATAAATGCGGTATTTTAGTAAAAGAAAACTACATATATAGTTATGCATTTTAAGCTGCACCTCAACTTTTTTTTTGAAATGTCAGTTAGGCTAATCTGGCCCTCAAGGCCGGAAATTGTCTGCAGCTAAATATGGAATAAGTCATATTAATTCTATTAAATTGAAATAAAAATCGCTGCCATTCTTTTGGCCATATACACCAATTGAATTTAGGTTTTCCGCCTAAAGAAGCAGATGTTGAGGTGTTTTGACCTTCAGATTCTCAGAAATTTCTATGGAGGCCCCTTCTAAAAGTGGTGAGTGATGGGGAACTTGGTGATCATATCACCTTCAGTAAATCCGCACTTTGCAAAATCTAAATCCGAGCTAGCGATATGCTTTTATTACCATTTTTTCTCCCGCAAAATTAAAGCTCATAGAAAAGTGTTTAGGTTTATCTAAATCACACAGTTATGCACATTCACGCATTCGTAATTGATTTCGGTAGTATCATATTTAGAAAAATTTGTTTGATTTTCATATAATGATCATATATGATTTTCATATGATAAGCTCTCATTTTCTAAAACATACAACTTTTATTTATGCATGGGTGGGCATATATATACTCCGGTAGCTGCCTTTTTCCAACGATATAATTCAAATAAAACAATAAGAATCTACATGCAACAAAAAGAAAAAAATCGGTACATGATTCTACACTAAATTAACTGGATTAAGCACACAAGTAAAGAAAAAAAAAATGTTAAGCCATAAAAGAAAACAGGCATAAAAAATTAACACTTGAAATTTACATATGTATGAGTACAAAAGTGGAGCTGATACAAAGTCAATGCAGCAACAGTTCAAAAAAAAAAAAAACTTGTAAAATAAAACGCAGCTTATAATAACACTAAGTGTATTTCGCTTTAAGCAAATACGCAAATATGCGAGCACGTATTGTATTTGTAATTAATATCTAACCAAAGTCCAACAGCCCGTAGTCTCATCGCGCCGAAAGTAGCGTGGTCGATTGTCCCGGAAAACCGTAATTGCGGGAAATTGATTATCCTGTATGAATTTTATAGTGGCGCGTATCTGTGGGTGTTAAAGAGTTTGAAATTTTTTTATATTAAAGCGATAAATATTATTTTTTAGCATCTCTTCCAACACTCTTACCTGCATAGTGAAATGCGGCGGCTCGACATCTGGACTCGTCGACAAATGTTGCAATAGGAATTCATCTGTTTGCGAGAGCCACAAATCAGCGCCACGTAACGGATCATAGTTAAAGGGGCCGATGCGTAACATGCCCAGCGATGAGTCGTATATGTCCAGTACCTGCAAAAGAGAGAAGTTATATGTAAGAATATGGTGAGTAGAATGTGGTGAGTAGAATAGCCTGCGAAAAAAACAAATTTAATTTTCACAAAAAACAAAACTAACCGTTTGTGCACCCATAAAATTTCGTGCATCACGCAATTGCCTATCCGGTCCTCGGTCTGGGAATGTTGCTGGGAATATTTCCCCGGTTTTTATATTGACGCCAACCCCATAAATTATCGGATAGTTTATGTCGCCGCGCAGTATAGTATTCAGCTCACCGACGCAGGCTTGAGTTAGATCGATCTCGAGATGATGTTTGTGGAATGATTCTGAAATATTGAGACAATTATTATTTACTTACATACATATGTACATATGTGTATGTATTAAAGGGTTTTCAGTTAAGGAGAGATGTGAGTTAAAAAAAAATTTTTTTCCGTTTTAATCAAAATCGTTAGAGCCTTATACATATACATTAGACTGCATCACCAAAAAAATTTCATTTTTGTATTTACAAAAATTTACTTAAAACAATTACAAAAATGCTTAATTTCTATAGAAAAAGAGTTGACTTGGGTCACCCGCCAACTGATTAAAAAAGATGCGCTGGAAAAAATATCCTAATTTTCCTTATTTCGATAACTTACTAAATATTTATCTGGGTTTCAATGCTTTAAAGTTTATATTAGTATTTTCCCGCTTAAGCCAGTGGAAACCTTTTATTTGCCTCATACAGCAATGTCCTCTACATACTATTATTATTAAGAGTATATAAACACACTTGCCACAAAAATTCAATTTACTTACGCATTATGCTATAGAAAACGTCTTCGCCATATCCTTGCGGATCTCGGTAGCCACCAATTAATTGTAACTCAATACGTCCTTCCGGATAACCTAAGGCCAACTCTTGAACGCGTGCGACCATTGTGCAAACAGCTTCATCCACACCGGTGCCATCAAAGTGGGCCAAAGCTACAGCGCCTGAACCTATGCAACGGCAGCGACGACAAAGAACACATAAAATACATGTAAGTAAAAAATACTTATTAAGGATCAACGGCAAATAAACATAACCAATACTTTTGTTACATGAATGGCTAGTATGAAAAGAAAATCATCGTACGTCTTTGGTAAAACGAAGCCAATTTGAACAAAGGCAACAAATGCCGTCTAAGACAAGTTAGCTTACACGACCAATATTCATATAAAAACTATATATGTATATGCACAATGTGCATTTATTGTTGTTGCGCTTTACATACCTGAATGCCTGACCATAACTATGATGCACGTTGTGGCATCATCGGCGCCAATAATGTTGATGTTCTTGTCGTGCGGCGCAGCTGCGGCCATTTCACGTTGGCCCACATAGAGTAGTCCCACGGGACCAACGGATTTTGTCGGTATGGATAGTAGTTGTTGGGCATAATCTCTGTATACAGGGTGTTGCAGGAATAGACTGTTTGTGTCCATAGGACAATCGTCCTGCAAAACACCATTCAATACCAGCACCATTTTGTGGTTTTTGTTTTTGTTTTTGTTTTTGTTTTTGATTTTCTTTAATAACTATAAATAATTCTTCAAAGCGACTTTGTTGCTTTTGAGATAGTCGTATTTTCGTTGTTGCACGAGTAAACGTATGAGTGGTAGGTATGTGAGAGAGAGTAGCTCCGTATTTTATTTTTAATTAAATTCAGCTAAAAGGTATTAAATCTGTGGGCGAGATAAAAAGAAATTCGAAATTAATTAAAATAACATTCAGTTTTCATTAGATAGCTGTAAAAGTTTTTGAAATACTATTACATATGTATGTACAGTCAATAGAGCCACTATATGTAAGTGTACTTGGAAAAAATTCCACACAAGATACAAATGGTACCATGATGTTCAGAAAACGATTTAAATCAAAATAAGGAAATTTTGTTTCTCTCAATTGGACAGGAAATATTTTTAAAATGAATCAATTACCGCACAAATGTAGTATATGGTCGTAGTTTGTTGAAACTTAACACCTACAACGATCACTTCACAGTGATTTCTAAAATGAAATAGTTTTTTTTTGTACCGGTTTACAATTATGAAAAAAAGCGGAGTGATCACGGTCATATCTTTTATTATGGTCATTTCAACTATATGAAAGCTAGTGTTAAGTGAGTTTCCAGCTGAAGTGTATGCGGCCATTGTGGTGCCGTGGTGCAACAAATGCTGCTGGTCCCTTGCTATATGCCAAGTCTAGCCAGATCTAGAAATGAACCTGCTACCTCGAACTAACTATGGATCCCGATGAGTATGAGAAATTTACAACACAAGACTATTTCAGCATGCGTAGGTCAGATAAGAAATGGGCTGGTCTCTGCACTGATATGACTGTCGGGCAGACTCTTATGCGTAGAATGAAAAAATCAACTGGACGTGGTATCAACAAGGAAAATGTATTGGCGAGATGGCTGCTCGGGATGCTAGTCGCCTATGAAGTAATCGAGGTCTTCGAATCATTCTGCGGAGTAAGAGGAGGCTGCCGTGGCAATGCGTGTTCAAATTCGGCCATCATCGAAATCTCTTTAGACACATCAGAGGACTTAAATAGGGCTGGAGATTTGTTAGTTGATGAATTCGAACCAATAAGTCACAATATTCAAGAAATAGATGAAGAAAGAGAACATATGTATCCAAGCATGATTTTCAAATTCCAGTCAGACAATAACCGCCAAAAGAAGACAATTGAATACGAACACAATTTATATATTTCCATTTGAGTATATTCTTTAATTATGTGTAAAAGTATTGAAACTTTTTAGAAACTTCCTTATTTAGGAAACAAGTATTTCATACTTCGCGAATAACCAATTTTTAATTATTAATCTTAATTCTTATTGCTTAAAAATACTTGTTTAATAAATTGTTAAATTCGTTTTTGTGCTTCATACATTTAAAAAACGGCGGGACCACTCCGCTTTTTACGAAATCGATAAGCCGTACTAAAAATTCGATTTTGTCGAAATTTGTAACCGGTACAAAAAAGCGACTTTATTTTGAAATTACCATAGTAAAGAAATTGATGGCAACACTCCGATTTTTACGAAACTAGTAACAGGTTCTAAAATTTAGGATTTTTCCGGTACCGGTACAAAAACCAATTAAACAGAGAGGTACAGAGCAACCGATTTCATTTTCGAAATAACAAACATGACAACCGGTCCTAAACCCCGGGTTTTTCGAAATTGGTAGCTGGCAAATAATGGAAGCATCCATCTTGTCGTTATGCGCGAAAGAAAAGGGAGGAAGAAACGACAAGCCATATTGACCACAGAGATCAACGAGAAAAAGAAAATAGTCCTTTAAAATTAGCCAACATTGAAGATTTCCGATAAAATAAGTAAGTACTTATAATATCTGACTATATAACATCCGATGGTGCCTTCGAGAAGTACTGCCCTTACAATGCCATTCGTTCCAATTACGCTCTTAAAACAAGTAATATTCTACAGCGATATTTCAAAACACCACCTTATAAAAACTCGAAACTATATTGGCAGACGCTGAGACAATCTTTTGACAGGCAAAATTAGCGTCGCGTTATGGCCAAACAATGTGAGACATTTGTAGACATAAATTTGCCAACTCTACCTACTACACTACACAGCCAAGATTAATATTTGGTTTGCGTTTAAGTACTTTTCAATTTACATTCTCCATCGAGTGCTTTTTTGGACTGCCGCGCGAAATTGGCACCGGCAAAGTGCTACCGCGAACAGGCCATGGAAGGCAAGTGGTGCAGGATACCACTGATGATGAAGAGGCAAACCCGCAATACACAGCACTTATGTACATTCATATCTTACAGTAAATTTATTTCCATATATATATTACGTGCAAAAACAATACCCAGCAGGAAAAGTGGCATGCAGGCAAGAAAAAGATGGAACTATGTATGTATTTGAGATTAGACGATTTCAAAAGAAAATGAGATACTTAAAAATTGGCTACTTAGTATATATTTTATCATCTAAATCCCTGATCTTTTTCGGAAACTGAAGCCCTGCTGTGGATAAGCGGTAACTAGTAGTCGCAGTACTGAATACACAGATCCGCGGACTTTCTGCAGGGTATTAATTTTTTTCCAGCATAGGTATGGTGACCATCCGCACTGTATTGTACGGGACAGTCCTCCTTTTTTCAACAATTGTTTTTGTAATATATTTGTTTTTTTTTTTATATACCGGACACCAAATGTTCTGTTTTTCTTTTAAAGTACTGTAATTGTCTGTATCCTGTCATTGGCTATTTGTTAGGTACTCCCATGAATACGGCAGAAGTTTCAGAGATGAGAAATAGGAAGAAACAACTAAGCACTTCTTCTCTAGTTGCTCAGCATTAGCGAAGAGTAGAATAGGCACTTCTTTAGTTCTCTTATGGAACTATCCGGTGTAGGAATAAAACCAATCCTACGCTTCAGAAAAGCCTGAAAATGGTTCTATGGAAAGTAGTCGCTGTGGTTCCGGTGATTTACAGAGGTACCAGAATGGATCTGCAAGGTCTAATGAAATTGTCATTTGAACTGACGTATATGGATTCCAAAAACAACAACAAATTACAAACAGATTGCAGTTTTTGCTGTCCAAAGTGCCTTTTTTAAGAGAGAATTTATTCTTTAGGTGAAACTACGCCAAAAAGATATTGCTGATTGTATGAAGAGTATCTCAACAACAATCCAAAGAAGAAAGCTACCATGAGAATGTTGTAAAAGTAAAGAAGTTCTCAAAGTTAGGAAGGAAAGTGGATCCGGAAGTGGATTTCGGATGGGAAAATAATGCGCTGAATACCATTCGCCCTTCAAAAGTTGTTGGATATTTTCAACATGCTTTCATGCCAAGGAACATTTGAAAAAAATTTTGCTGGGTAAAAATCCCTAAAAATATCCTACAATATATGTATGTACATAGATCGAAGAATATATGCCAAATGAATATGCTGTTTTACGTGTAATAAATATAGTATCGTTGAAGAAGGTCTTATAATCTGTTAGCTTTTATGGAAAAATAAATATGGTCACCTTAACCAGAGGCATCTAGCGAAATAAGAATATGTTTGTATGTATGTATGTTAAGTGAGTGCCTTGCGTGGAAAATTTGTGGCTCGCTGATGCACATGTTTGATAATAATTTCTTGTTGTTGCTGCCCATAGTCGCACTGCTGATGCTGCTTCTGATTCGTACTGTAAACCTTATAAAAAATATACCCAAGTAGTTGGGTACATATGTTGCTTTTGGTGGTCATATCGTAAATTTGTTATGTCTTCATATTAAAAATTTGTCATTGCAATGTACATACATACATACATTTGTTTACTGCTGCTGCTGCCCACGAACTGCTGGGCTACTCAACAAATACATATATGTGCATAAGTACCTTAGGCATTGCTGGTCCTGTTTTCCTTCAGCTTCCAAGTGTCCATTTGCTTGGCTGAATTATGCCAAATTGAAAATGTGTGCGCCGAAGGCGATGTAAAAGATGGTGTGAAAATTTATGTTTTACACGTCGTTGAAATTAAAATTGAATTTATTGTTATGTGACACACGTATGTACGTATGTATGTATGTAGTTGGTATTGTGAGTAGCCTTCAGTAAAAAGACCAACTAGCAATAAATATTCTAGTACATTACATTTGGTGCAATGCTGGTGCAGAGGATGACTAGATCATCCGTTTTCAGCCTATTTTGATGTCCAAATGACAAAATTTACATCGCTTTACAATAGATGCTCTTCTTTTCATGACGACCCAGGACAAACTTTTTAAGGGCCAGGTTAGGTTGGGTTGGGCGGCAGTCCTAAGTGGGACTCACTTAGACTCAGCGTCCATTGTGATACCGCATTAAGTTTTTAATTATCCCCATTCCCTTGTAAACCACTTGGTGCTTAGCAAAACAGTGCATAGACTTCTAACGTAGACCGCTTTGAGGTCAGCGAGATCGTTGAAGAAATAGCTCCCAAGAGCTTTTGCTCTCCGTTTTGATAGAGCCGGGCAATGCTCCAGAATATGTGGGATGGTTTCCTCTCAGACAATGTCCGCTGAGAACTCTAGTCACTATGTGAATGTCTTGCCCCTTAGATTAAGTAGAGACTTGGTGCGTTGAGCGTCGATTCCGTTCGTCATTTTTCATTTCGTTTCTGTCACATATCGCTCATTTGCGGCCACACACCGACGGAAGAGAAGGACAAGCCGTCACAAGATATTTTTATGAGCGTTTGGGATGTTTCCACCGTCAGTATACCAAAATCATGGTTGGTAATTTTAGTGGAAGGCTGGGCAAGCTCGGAAAATTCAGCCTTCACCACGAATCATCCGATAACGGGCTGTGGCTGATCGACTTTGTCGCGACCCGAAACATGATAGTCTGCAACACATCAAGCTACGTGGCTGTACCCATCTCCCTTGCAGTGCGGCAAGCTTAAGATGCTAACCGTCAGAAAAAACGTCCGACAATTTGACCAGAAAATCGATCGATGTCCAGAGCGCGGACAAGACGAACCGGGGCCACGAGTCGAGGATGATGAAATCGATTTACCACCACACCCCTCCCGGCGTAGATGCTTCTTGGAGCTCCTTACCGAAGAGGGGGCAGCTCTTTTTATGAAACACGCCAGAGAAGACACTGAGGAGCATAGTACCAGCACAGCACCGGTATCAGGCACTGGTCGCAACACAGACACCACTCCGCAAGCAGGCAATGCTACAATAGTCGGAATCGGTCCAAGAGCAGGCACCGTTCAAAGAGCCGAAGTTACTCAAGATGAAGGCATCACTCCGGTAGCAGGCACCGAAAGAGGTAACTGGGAGGGCATCGCAGGTTCTCTAGCAAATCATCTAAGTCGGATGAATCCGGGTGACAGACTCAGAATCGGTGTCCAAGAGCAGACACCATTCAAAGAGCCGGAGTTACTCAAGGCGAAGGCATCACTCCGGCAGCAGGCACCGAAAGCGGTCACTGGGAGGGCATCGCTGGTTCTCCGGCAAATCATCTACGTCGGATGAATCCGGGTGACAGACTCAGAGGAAGAAGCAGCGCTGGTACATACCTCCTTCACTACCCATATCGGGTCAGCCGGGCGCTCTTTACGACTATTGTCGAGCTGGTTTCGGCGGCTCCGGAGTCAAGTGGTACCTTCGCTACCTGCAGCAGTGGAGGACCCCAAGCTCGGATCATGGCAGCAATTCAAGAGAGAGGCGCCTGAGAACGAGGATCGTAAGCGGGTAACAGCAGAAGCACCAAAGACCCGCGTCCGCCGATTTGCGGAGAGGTGGGGAACTAACAGGCATAAACCCAGGTGAAGTATCAACATCGAAACGTATCAGTAACCAAATTACGCCACCGTAACCGTAACGTATCAGTAACCAAATTATGCCTTCTAGCAAGCGTCAGCGGGAGCAATCCAGGAACCTGGGTGGAACTGTCGACCCGGGACAGGCGGGGGAGCCACTCAGCAGTCCAGCTACTCGAAGGCCCTAAAGGCCATTCGCGTGGATGTGCTGCTATGTGCTGCCCTGAGATCGGAAAACCTAGCCAGGCTCCAGGACGTCATTATCGAAGAGGTATGCAATGAGTGAGCGCATCTGTTGGTGTTCTGTGTGGTTTACTTCCCATCACATGGCGATCTGTTATTTCTCAGCTTGAAAAGGTTGGCCACATTCCTTAATTGTGGCAATATCATAGTACTATGAATATATGAAGCATAAGATGAATAAACAACAAAAACCAATTTCAACGGTACCAAGAGTTGAGAGTTGGAAGAGAGGAAGGAGAGTTCGTTCCGAGGAGCGCTGAGAAATCAGCCGTGCTGGCTGAGGGTATTCATACCTCCGTGTGGAAGGTGATATGCTGCGGCACCGAAGACAACGTGCTCAGGCTCAATCTGGTGACTGATGAGGAGTTGTACGTCAGCATTACGAGGGTTGGATTCAACGCCAACTACCGGTTTAGCTTTGTCACGGAAATGACAGGTACAAAGAAGTCGGAGTGGCAAGACCTGCAAGTCGATGCGGGCTTACCCGCTGACCAGTCACCAGACCAGCCTTTGTAAAATATACATAATTGTGCTTCAAATCCATACTCCTTAGCTAAGACTGCAGCCGCTCTAGCTTCTAACTCTAGATAAATACCGTTGAAAATCTTTCTTCCAACTCCTTCCAAGCAATACGAATAAGATTTCAATTTGAAGACAAAAAAATGTTCTACCTTGATTGCAGACAACATCGTTGGAAAAAGTTCAGTTTAGCGAAAAAATTTGACAGCTCAATCAACTTTGCATTGCAATATTATATTCCTACGGCAATACCAACCTTACCAAAAAGGAGTACTGCTTCTTAAGCCTCATCTGCTGCAGTTTTGCTTAACACCCACATCTCCTACCATTTCAGCGATTCGTGCTTAGGTAGCGCTCTGGGCTATGATGTCGTGTTACAAAAAATAAAAGAAAAGTAATGCAAGAAGCAAACGATTGTACAATCGTTTCCATTACCCCAACACACATCTCTGCCATATGCGGTGAACAGTTTTGGTCGCATGTCATCAATTTATGGCACACGGTACCCGAGCATGCACAAAGCTTTTATCCTCAGGCTCAATTGCTAGTCACAGCATAAGCTCGAATTCTCGGCTGCTTAGCTAAGCGTAGCCTATGAATTTGCCTAACGTTAACAATATGGAGCACAAAATATCGCGTATAGATAGATGTACGGAGGGGCAAACGTACGGAGGGGCGAACGAACGGACGGATAGCGATCGAATAATGGGTGCAGTGTGAGCAAAATACTAGTCCATTCTTCTTCACAATGCTCTAGTGATACATACATACATACATATGTAAAAATGTATATACATATGTGCAACAATATGTGCCACAGAGCTGCGGTCAATTGTTGAGGTGACATTTTTATTAAATTATTGAAGAAAATTGTTGACATGTGTTCTTAATTGTTATTAACTGTACGATTGTTGCTCATTCACTTGCTATCAGAGTGACATATATATTTATGTATGTATGTATGTATTTTTCGGCGTTGTTTTCTGCAGTCGATGATTCTTTTCTCACATTAGGGGTATTCTCGAAGTCTTGCACAAAGCACGGATTGTATGAAATGCAAAAATACTATTCCAAATTTGCATCAGTACGAGAGCTCCTCCCCATTTCCAAATGGTAGCATGCATAGGTAGCAAGTAGCGAAATTTTTTATGAAAAACAATAACAAGTTACAGCAAAAGAAAAAAAAAAAATGAGCGAAATGAGAGAAATATGTAGCAATTCCAACAACTTTGTTTTTTTTGCAAAATATATACATAGGTTTCGAAATGTTGTTTCCCATGTATTCTGTTCTTGTGTGTTTGCAAGTTATGCAATCCGTGCAGTCCGTGCTACGTGCCACGGCTTTGCAATATTTCGAGAATACCCCTATTGCGTTTATGTTGGCCCTCGATTGACACTTTCATTCATTGATTGTGACAAACGAATGCTCAAGCAATTGCTGGCGTTATTGTCCAACTGACATGCTGCGAGGCGCTAATTGGTGATCCAATGTGTGCGGAATTGTAATTTTATTAGTGTTTAGGTGTTCACCGCGCCATCACCATCCTACGTGATGTAGAAAAACTCTTTTTTTAATGATCGACGCTGTTTTTTTCTATAAGTAGTTTCATGACACATTTTGAACAGATTTTGTCGTACCAATAGCCAGCGGGCCATTGTGGGGCCCACGAAGTGTTTCCTTCTATGCTACTAATGCCTATTTTCAAATCATTCCTAGTAAAGGGCATTCACATAGAGAAAACTCTAAAGCTATTAAGGAGGATATTTAATTAATTGTTCTAGAGTCTCAGCTAAGTAGTACTTTGGTCACAAGCCAAAGAGAATACATCAGCCAGTAAAATTGGAAGCGATAGGCCTTTCGTGCTCAAACTATTTTTTAATTTTTATAAGTATGCGATCAGAATTTTAGGCATCCAGTTTCTCTTTTTCAACTCAATAAACTTGCATACAAATTTCCGACTTTGTATTCAGATTTTTTAGAAAAATACTAAGCAGTTTTATAGTTTGATTTTTGGCAATTTTTTTTTAGCGGAAGCTGTTGCTAATTTTCTCCATACAAAAAATAATTGTCGAATATACTTTGCATGGAAGAACCTGCGTGAAAAAAATTGCCAAAAATCAATGCGATTTTCTAGCAACTTTAAACCTGCAATTTGTTAACACGATTCCCACTTACTATTTTTTTGTGTGCCAAAATGCAAAAAATGTACCAAAATAGGTTTAAGCTATAGATTAAATTATTCAAATGTTATACAAATACATATTGATCATATATGTATGTAGTTAATAAACCAATTTTCCGTGTGTTAATGTTTATGTTTTTAGCTCAAGAATGAACTATATTTTTATAAAAAATTATTGAAAATAAACTAGAATAAAAAAGCGTTTTTTACATTACGAAAAATTCACTGTGGCAATACTTTTGTTCGTCACTGTATGTACATTACAATAATAACAACACCAAAAAATGCAAAGCAGCGCATACGAGCTTCAGATATGAACTAGCAAAAATTTAAAAATCAATATCTACTGCATACAGCGCTACAATTTCATAACCAGCTCTTTCATGAGCTGGATTGTTCTTTTTTGTTCCAAATAGGTGGTCAACTCTTTTATTATATCGCTAGCTTAGAAAGAAAAGTTGCTAAGTCGCATTTTAAAAATTTTACAGGAGAGGAAAAAACCTTCCTATAGCCATTTTCTTTAACTATTTCGCAAGACTTTGAATCAAACATTTTGCGCGTTTAAAGCAAAGCAAAACTCCATAAGAATCAGAAGGATTCGATATTTATTAAAAGATGTCGTATTATTTTCGCCTTCTCGGATTTGTGGTGCTTCTTTTGGACTTAGCAAATTTTCCTTTTATTGCTTATGAAGAGGAAAAAATAAAACAAGTACCTTTATAATATTCGAAACGATGCGTTTTCAATTTCTCTAGCCTCCTATATCAAAATATGAATTTTCATAAAAAGTGGACTTAGCAACTTTTCACTCTAAGCTAGCGATATGGTGCTAAGTTAATAGCCCTAAAAACGGGTCATAAATATAAAAAGAGAGCTATAGGAACGCGGTCCGTTACTACAAGTAATTTTCAAGCATAAAACAAAACCGACGTTAATTCTCATACAAAAGTTTAAGAGTATCGTTAATTTTTTCCTGATCCAATGATCGGATATAAACCAAATTTGTATGGGACAACCTCGGATGTAGAATTATAAAAATCGGTTAAAGTGGTCCAAAGTTATGCGGTATTGATAACCTCCTCTTTTAGTGAAGTCGGTTAAAAATTTTCTTATTTATATGCATCCTAGTCAGGGGTCCTCGGGTGCGCTTTTAAACCCAATATAACTAACGTCTCTCTTGGCAAATACGGCAACAAGGATCATCGGTAAGCAAATCATTCCTTCCGTCAAAAATTCCTTCTCTCCACTATTGATCGGCCATAACTATATATGTACTTCAAAAGCGTCTACTTAAACAATTCTTTATTATTGCCTTCTCTTTAAAAATACTTGAAAATTGCATATGACAAGTGCAATTGAATTATTTACTTTGCCACAGCGTTAAATTGATTGAAATCAAATCGAGTTAAAGTTCAGTCGAAGGCAAAATGAAAATGATAAAAGAAAAACAAAGCAAAACAAATGAAGAGGAATACTACTTATTTAAAAGAAATGTATGTAAGTAAGTAGGCATTTTTAGGAGGCAAACAGACAGCATAGAGGTTGCAGGTTGGCACCACGAATAAAATCAACTACTTAGCAATTTTCTGCACGTTCGCCTCTTGGCAGATGTGGCGGATTGTGATTGCAGCGCTACGGGACGTGCAGAGCGCGCTATAATACGCTGACGATGTGGCGGCGTACGAGTAAAGGTAGGCTGGAATGAAGGCAACATAGTGCATATATACATACATATGTACGTACATATAAAAAGCGCATTACGAACAGTGCAAATACGACAGCGGCAATACAACAGTTGGGCATCAGTAAATATTAATATGTATAAATACAATACGTAAGGTAGCATATGCGCATGAATAAGTTCGTATGAATGTATGCAGAACATATCATAGGTATGCATTTCTTTTTGCATTATGTACAATTTATGTATGTAGGTTTCTACTACAAATAGTATGACTAACTAGTGATGCGGATGAAACGGAGGCAAGCGGTGCGCTGGTGGAGATGCTTATACACTGCAGTTATTACTACACAGTCCAGAGGCGGCAGGAAAATTGCAATAGAAGTAACTTAACAACCGAACAACCAGCCAACCAACCACGTCACAGTCACATCGTCATCAACAACACAATAACACAATGTTTCGCCAAATGAATTCATATTTGTACATGCATGAAGAATTGCTGGCAATTGGCGGGTGTGCTGCCTGTTGCTGCCTACAGAGGAGCGGAGCACGCGCTGGGTGAGGTGTTGCCACTTGGAAGGGAACTTGTTGGTTGAAAAAAGCAGGTGAGCGGTAGAAAGAATTCGAAAAGTATTTTGTTTAAATTTTTACTGATAACTCTCATTTTTTCGTTTTTAACAAAAAAAAATAAGGTCAAAATTGGTAAAATAATGTAGATAGACATCCAAGCCCAAATATGAACAACACATGACTAGAGATGCCAGATCGAAATATAAAAAAAAATTGATTTTTGAATCGATTCGAATCGAAATAAAAATAATCGATACCAGAAATCGTGAAAAAAATAAAACAATCTCCAAAGATCATATCATATAATTTGCCAAATAACGCCTTTTGCTTAACTTTCTTAAATAAAAAACAAAACACTGTCATCTTACAAACATTGAAAAACAAATTAACAGAAATAAAAAAATTTTCCGGCCTGCGGCATTCGACCATCATTTCTAAAATAAAATTTACTGCTGAATCCGAATACGAAGTCAAAATATAAAAACACAGAGCATCTTTTGAGATATAGCAAGCTCTGTTTTGTTTTTGTGAGATCTGAGCATTTTTCGTCCAATCAAAAAATTCTTCTTACATACACTCCCAGTCCTTTGAATAGCACACCATTTTGATCCTCAGTATGTATAATTTTCCTTTTGTTTGTTTAATATTTATTAGTATTTTATAAAATTTTATACACATTTAAAACAAATGTCAAAATATGGGTGTGCTATTTAATAACCGTTTTAGTATAATAAAGTGCAAGTTTCAAGTGGCTACAAAATACAGTTGGTCTAAAAAAATTTGTTTGGTTTACTGTGCTAAGAAGAAGAAGAAAATGCACGAAACTTTCAACAAAAATAAATTTCCAAAAATAAACGGTATTTTGAGGCCATTTGAAACTGCATACCCGAAATTTTTGAAAAAATATTATTACTTTTGCACTGCAGGTCATTAGGATAGCACAACCCTTTGTTGACATGTTTTTTAAATTTCTATAAAATTTCACGCATACTTTGAAAAAAATTTGATGAAATTTGGGTGCTTCAAAAACTATGAAAAACGCGAAAAAACGAAATATGTACTTGAATTACTTTAAAATTGTTCAGAGCAATGTTGCGAACAGTTGATTTTTTGTCGAATCTTCCATTATGGAGGCAGTACCCGAGACTAATGCTTAGTATTAAATAATGAAATTATAGTTAATAGAAAGCTTTTGTTGCTTCAATAGTGTAGTGAAAACCACATAAAAGCTTTTCCGATGCTTACAAGTAAGACGCTCAGATTTTGAAGAAAAATAATGCTCCTATTCAAGTGAAGTAGAGTATGTACACATATGTATGTAGGTACATACGAATGTATTTATTATATACATATGTATTTATTAATTCGTGTGCTTTGAAGGCACAACGAGTATCGCACAAGTCCGTTACTTTATCCGCGCTATGCAATAAACAATTGTTTACAGCCAACAATTCCGCATTGGACTGATTTCTTCAAAGTGCAGCAACAGCAGGAGCAGCAACCACGGCAACAGAGCCTGAAGAGGAATGTATGGTAGTATGAAAGTATGTACATGAAACCTATGTATTAAAGACCACGTTCGAGTTTAAAAAATAATACATACCAACTTATGTATGTATGTACCTTAGAGTGCATAAGCAAAAAATTCGGACTGATATTAAGATTTACGTGAGGTGAACCGATTTTTAAATATCTCCAAAGTTGGCATTATTTTGATACCGTGAATAAAATTTTTAAACATTTTTATGCAAATATTTTAAGCATTAACTCTTGCTTCATCTGAGGTGATTTTCTTGAAAAAATAAAAAAAAATAAATTTATTTATAAAAAACTAGATTTTTGAAGGTCTTTTAAAACAGGTTCAAAATTTTAGTATTTTTCCGAAAAATTTAGTGGAAGTATTAAAATATAATAAATTTTATATTTCCGATGGAAAACAGCCGATACCGATAATTTTTTGAATGGAGCGTGATGCACCCTAATGTACATATGCATGTGTGTCTGCATGCATATGGTTGTGCTCAACGCTCGTCGGAGGCCACAGGCGATCTAACAAAAAACATTGGCAATAAAATTGCGCGGCGCGAGTTGGCAACAAAATGCAGTTAATACAACGGCAATACATAGTTGCAAGTTGCAACCGAAGCTGCGGTGGCGACGGCAACGACTGCAGCAACAGGCAACGGCAATAAGCAATAGACAACAACAGCAATTTTGGCCGTGATCATGCATGAATCTCGATTAGATATTCGACGGGAAATAATTTGAAAATGATGACAGTTTGAGATATGAGGACAACAGAAGAGCAAAAAAAAAACAACGAGCATCAAAACAGAAAACCAAAAGAGCAACGAAAAATAAAGCAAGCAAAAAAAAAAAAAAACTTGCAGCATATAAAAAGAAAAATAAAGCAACTTGAACAGAGCAGCAAGGTATCACAAGTGGAAGAGGCGCAGACAACAAGGGCTCGTTGCTGCTGCATACTGGCCATATCGGAATGCTAGCAGCAGCAAGTCTGCTAACCAGCACCGCACTGCCTAAAGCTCGGAACACTTTGACGACAGCAAGCGACAAGCAGCATCTGTCAAATTTTAAATATACACGTTCTTACGGACACAATTATTTTGACGACAGCACGACATCTTGGCTGCAGGACTGCAATTGTCGACGTCGCCAAATTAAATCTATTTCTAATTTTGCCGGCGACAATGAGTAGATGTAGTGCTGCAAAATTAAATTGTCGCAAAATTAATCACATATTCTTGATTGTTCATGTTTTTCTTATTTACTTAAATAAAAATACACAATTTGTGAAATAAATATACCAAAATGTCAAACTTTAAAATCAGCTGTTTGCTATGTCGCTGAGGTCTTCAAAATGTTTAAGAAGCTGGCTTCAAGGCGACATTTGTCGACAAAATGATGTCGCTGTCGTTACGTCGTGAAGTTGCAGTCGTCAAAGTGTTCCGAGCTTAACATCCAAAAAATGAAATAATGCCAAATGGTAGCTCAACGCAAAGCGTATCAACGAAATTGAAAAGAGGAAGCAAAGCGGCATGCGCACTGCGATTTGGTATGCCAGCCAGCAGCCGGTTGCAGCAGCCGAAAATTCCTAATAAAATAAGAAACCAACTCCTACCGCTCGCGCTTCCCTACTCACCGAGCCCAACCACTGTCACAGCCACAGCCACAGCTACAGCGTTTGAGCCACCACTATTGCTTGCTGAATATTACCTGGAAGCGTTTCGTTGTTTCGCTTGCGCTGTGCGGTTCGGATCGTGCCACACAACAATGGCACTCGTGCAACCTACCAATCGCACACGGCGTTTACCACAAACTTCTCTGGAACAGTGCCATTTAAGTAGAGATGCATTTTGTATGGATTTGTAATAAGCGCTAGCGACGATTTTCGTTTCCTCAAAAGAGACAACAAAATTAAAAAAAAAAAGATGAAGAAATATTTGTGGTCGCCCCCCGTGAACTAGATAAATCGTATTGACAGCAGACGCGCGCGGCAAGTTCGTCAGCGCTTGAGCGCCCGAACTGCATAGACAATGCAAATAAAATGAGGAGAAAACGGAATCGACTTCTGATAATTGATAGCGATGATGGTGGTCAGATATTTGCCGAAGACATTGAGTGGGCTCAAAACTTTTAATGAAATTTACTTTGTTGTCGAAATGGAGTAGAGAAATCTATTCAAGTGCATCACAAAATAAAGATACATCTTTGACATACTAGACCTGAAATTGTTGCATTAGCCTGGGATGTTTTTGTCCTCAG